GATATAGCCCACATTATTTGACGTAGAGCGTCAAAATTTAGCAGAATTATTTGTATTGTGTCTAGGATGGTTGGTATTGAAAATGAGATACATCGGTCCACGTTATGGTACAGCCCCATATAACGACACCTCCCGATATTCGGTATTTTGATGATTTTTTCCAACATTTTTTCACGCTTTGGTATAGCCTCCATACAGGGTTGCCCATATTCGACGGACCTTTGGGCCCATTCCAATCGACAGGGCTTGTCCGCAGGCAACATTCTTTGCGTCAATTGAATTTTGTACGGGAACAAATGCAAATCAATGCGAATAATCCGTTGTAAAGTGGACCGAGCCATGCCCAACTGCTGAGAACGGCGTTTTTGGGATGTTCTTGGGGACCTCTCAACACTGGCTCGTACGGCAGCGATATTCTCGGCCGATCGCATTGGTCGACTTTTATATTGCCTCTTCGGATTAGAAAGAGCCTTACCAGTCGAAAATTTTTCGTATAAACGCTTAATGGTGTTCTTAGAAAGCGCACTTCTCACATTTTTTAATTTTTTAAAAGCACGTTGAGTTTTCACAATTGTCTTCTTCTGTTGAATGTAAATCTCAGAGCGTTCGCATGGCGTGTATTGGAGTGAACCAATATATTCCATCTTAACACTAAATCTTGGGTTTATAAAAATATTGGGATGTGTGGAATTTTAAGACAATCGGACTCTTATATCACATTTTATAAGAGTTGTAATTATTTAAAATTTTTAAGCTTTGTGGGGGAGGCACTTGATGGTGTGGACCGATATTATCCATTTTCACCTGACCTAGCACTAATGGAACAACAAATATAAGGAACAATAAATATAAGGATTTGCAAATTTGGAGCAAAATCGGATTATCGTTTCTCTTTCTGTGCAAAAAATAATTTTTGGAAATTTAGACCTTTTGTGGGGGAGGTACCAGAAGACCGATATATTGCATTTTCACACCAGGCCAGGATGTGTGAAATTTGAAGACAATCGGACGCTTACATAACATTTTATAAGAGTTGTAATTATTCAAAGTTCTGACCCTTTGTGGGGAAGGTACTTGGTGGAGTGGACCGATATTGTCCATTTTCGCATCTGACCTAGCCCTGATTCAAATATTAAGATTCGCAAAGTTGGAGCAAAATTGGATTATTCTTTCTATTTATGTGCAATAAATTATTTTCTTTGAAAATTTTGACATTTTATGAGGTAGGTACCAGAAGGAGAGGATCGACATTGTCCATCTCCGAACTCGATCTAAGTTTGACAAAAATATTACGATGTACCAAGTTGGATCAAATCGGATACTCCGGACGGAGGGACATCGCTAGATCGACTACAAGTGTCCTGAAACGGATTTGGTCCAAAGAGGCCTGTGGTCTAAAACCGTTATTTCGACTAGGCAGGTTTTGGCCGCATCAAATGATATATACGCTCTGTAGGTATAAAAAATTGGCTTTTGAAACAATTCCATACATTTAAAAAGAATGGCTTCGGGAAACACCAATGTAACCAGAGAAATCGAAAGTGTAAAAAGGCATTGCTTTTGGGTCAAAATCATCAAATTGGTTTATAGATGACAATCAAGAGGTAGTTCTTCCCATTTTCCCAATTTAATGTACATTTGCTGTTATTTGTTTAAAGATATTTGCTGACCCTACTTTGACATTTTGCTCTTACACATTATAATTCCACTAATATTTTTGTTGTTAAAAAGTTTTACATATCGGTTCATAATTAGGTATAGGCCACATATAGCTTTACTTTCCGATTTTCGGTGTTTTGAATGTTTTGATCACAATTTTAAGACAAAAAAGAAATTGGAAGAAAGAGAGAATAGTGGAAAAAAGTAAGGTGTTATTGGTTTAATATATAGTTATGAGGGTGATCCACGGCTAGAAATCTTGCCGTGTCGTCTTTAGCCACTTAAATGTTCTGGCTAATTAAAGAATTACTGTACTGTTAGAGAACGAAGACAAATCGTGTGACACTTGTTCCCCAACCAACCTGTGTTTTATGTTAATGACATTAGCGACTTTGTTCTCTTCTCTGAGACTGTGGGCTACATTTTTTGGAGATGTTGCATTCCCTTTCGTCCAGCCATTTTTATTGAATTCTCTCCGAGTAGTGTTTATGATTTACCTATAGGATGTGGCACAGGAATGGTTTGACCGAGTTTTTAACTTCAATGGTAGCTGATTCGAATCCTAGCCTAGCAAATTCGTCTGCAGTCTCGCTGTCTGGAATATTGTAATGACCAGGAAACCAACAGAGCTTGATGGACAACCCAGCGTTTTCCAAGCGTCTCCTGCAGTTCAAAACAACCTTAGACTTGATAGTAGAGGTGTTTAGGGCTTTCAGTGCCGCTTGACTATCGACGTAGTGCTCACCGGACTGCTAACCTCGTTGTTCCACGTTACCAACAGGTCTATGGGTTTTTAGACCGCAAAAATTTCCGCCTGGAATACGCTACAGTCTTTGTGAAGATACCTCCACTATTATATATAGGTCCTAAAGAACGGCACTTCCCAATTGTAGGTATATCAGTTGTTGTTTTGTTGTTCTCAGTGTATAAAAGCTTCAAAAATTGTCAATATAGATCCCCAAAAATTAAAGCATTTCGTTGCTACCATTCATTCATTTTTTTTACTGTTCATATCTTAATCAGTAAAAAACAAGTAGGAAACCTCCACCATGGGACTTAAAAACTCCCTTAAACTTCTGTCGAAAAAAAAAACAGTTACAGGGTGAGATGAAAAAACTGCAACCAACTTCAGACTGCTGTCATTCCTAAGCCACTCGTCCCACAGCTGTTAAAATATTCCAGTGACAGCTCATTATATTGTTTACAAGCGTACAAAAACATTTTGGTGAGAATCTTCCAGAAAAAAAGTTATTCCTGATGGAATTCAAGCGTGATAGTGTGATTTCTTTATAAAAGACTGGAAAACCACAAGTGGCTATAGTTAGAGCACTCCTACATTTAAATGTGAATAAATCTTTTGTCTCGTACCATTTCTCGTTACCATGATACTGATAGCATAGCAGGAGATAACAGCAACATCAGCAGAAATGGTTCGAAAAGTAAAGAAGCGACTTTCGATCAAGTCACAATGGCCGAAAAATGGCTCGTGAACTGAACATATCACAATATTCCATTCGGCAAATATTGAAAAATGAGCTCGGGGTTAAGCCATTAAAATTCCAAAAAGTGCAAGAACTTACACCGCAACAGAAAGAAAATAGACTCAAAAGAGCTAAAGAGTTGCTTCGCTTGGCCGAAAGTGATGAACTGCCGTATCTGGTTTTCTCCGACAAGAAAACATTCGTTGTCCAGCAGTTTGTAAACAAACAAAATGATCGTTTTTACTTGCCAAAGAGGTCAGCTGAAAATGTGCACCTTTGGGTGGCCGATGGTCGCTCTCCGCTCGTATTAATCGACCGTGGCATCAGAATAAATGTCGATAATTATCGCGTAAATATTCTGGAGGGTGTATTAAAACCTTGGGCATGCAAACATTTTGGCGGCAGACCTGTGACATTCCAACAGGACTCAGCACCATCGCACTCAGCACGCGCTACCCAAGAATGGTTACAAAATGAGGTTCCTCGCTTCATTTCCAGCGCACAATGACCACCAAAACCTCCGTATACCAATCCGTTGGACTATTGTGTCTGGAGTAATATGTAAAGCAAGGTTGCCCCTAAAAAATACCAAAGTGTCGATCACCTCAAGCAAGCACTTCGCCGCGAATGGGCCAAAATACCGCAGAGCAACATTCGGGCCGCGTGTGACGGTTTCATTGGCCGTTTGAAGGCCATAGTTTGTGCCAAAGTTGACCAATTCATACAAATCTAAACTTAGTCTAAAAGTTGATGCCATTTCCGACATGTTTTGCTTTTATTCAATAAAATTAAAAAAAAAAAAATTGTGGCGTTTGACTTTGTTGCATATTTTTTATCTCACCCTTTTTTTGCGGAGTTAAACAGAAAATCGGATGACCTGAAATCTTAACCGATTTCACCAAATTAAAAGTACTTTCTTCTTGTTGGAATTTGGTCATATGTGCCACATGGGCTGATATTAACCAATCGCAATCGTGGATTTTAAATATTTTTATTATACCTTCCACTATACAATGGAGGGTATATTACAACACCTCGAACACCCCAAAAAGTATATATTTTCCTGATTAGAATAAAATCATAAACCGTTTTAGCGATATCCATCTGATTGTCTGTTGAAATCACGATACAGCCCAATTTATTTGACGTAGAGCTTTGAAACTTGGTCCTAAGTTTATATTATATTCAGGCTGATTGGTATTGAAAAATGGGCTTTTTCTAACCAAATCAGATGAAACTTGAAATTTTGGCTTCATAAAAGGTCTTTTCTCTCCTTGTGCAAACATTTTCGACTAAGGTTCAATAATTGGTACAACCCCTGTATAACGTTACCGCCCACTTTATTGTTATTTGTAAACTTTTACTGTATTTTTCAGCCGATATCACCAGTAGTTGTAGTTTAAAGTTGAACACGTTTGAATCTAGATAATTTTATTTAAATCCTTTTTTTACGATATAGATATGGAGAGTATTGAGAGTTCAGCTCAGCCGAACTTAATTGTTTTACTTCTTTTTCGATCCAAATGTTTTCCATATGAAACTACAATAACCAATTTTACTGGAGTGGTACGATCACCAATTTTACATAGGAGAAACAACACCAGGACATCCCAAACCACAGGATGCACCATGCAACGCAAGTTTAGGAAAACCGTTTCATCCTAGTATTTTAATTTATGACAGATGTATGCGCATATTTATGACCCACACTTTTGTCGCAACAACAAAACCACAAAATGCAAAACGCGCAACCTAGTCGCATTGTTTATTAGCCATGTATGTGTGTGCGTGTGTGACAATTGCAGGACGATGGCATGACACTATAACACATTTCCCTTTTTTGTTGATGTTTAATTTCAGGGTGTTGTGGCGTTCAGCTCTCAGGGAGATCGTATTGCTTTAACGCAAATTGAGCAAATGATTAATGGAAGATATGAAAAATTGGGTTATTATGATACCCAATTGGATAATTTAACGTGGTTGAATTCCGAACGATGGATAGGAGGAAAGGTAAGTAGTAAATGGCTGGACAATAACACAAAATGGAAAACATATTCAATTATTTTGTTTTTATAATTTGCGTGAAGTCAATTCGAATGGTTTATTGAAGAGGTGTAATTTTTTTGAATGAGACCAGTGGGTCGTATTAGTAATAATATTGCGAACATGCAACGTGGAATTAGGAGTGATGGAGGAATATTTTTTTAAGGATATTCGGAGAAATAAGCGTGAATTTTTTTGGAATACTTTTCATCAGTGACATGTTGTGACTCAACTGTAGATTTTTATACCCTACACCACATAGTGGTAAGGGTATTATGTCTTTGTGCATTTGTTTGTAACATGGAGAAGTAAACGAGATAGACCCATAGTTACTTTTGAGAACCTTCATAGAATCACTTTCTGAGTCGATTTATGCATGTCCGTCCGTCTGTCCATGTATTCTTGTGAACAAAATGCAGGTCGCATTTATTATCCGATTGAGATGAAAATTTCCAAACAATATCTTTTTGGCCCAAGGACGAACCCTATTGAAATTGGTGAGAATCGGATAAAATTTAGATATAGCTCCCATATATATCTTCATCCGATTTCAGGTTAAATGAGCACCAAATGTCCACTATCAATCCAAATTACCTGAATTTTGGCACACCCAACCGAGTTCGGCCTAGAAGCAAGTATATCAAATTTGGAGAAAATCGGTTCAGATATAGCTATAGCTCCCATATATATCGTTCATCCGATTTGATCTTTAAGTCCCTCACATTCCTACTATGCACTCCACAACCGTGATATTTGGTACCAGGTATTAGATGGAGCACAGAAATAGCTGTTTTAAATTTTATCGAAATCGGTTCAGATTTGGATATAGCTCCCATATATATCTTCATCCGATTTCGGGTTAATTGACCACCAAATGGCCAATATCAGCCCAAATGGCCCGAATTTTGGCACATGTGACCGAGATTAGCCTTAAAGCAAATACAACAAATTTGGAGAAAATCGGTTCAGAAACAGCTATAGCTCCCATATATATGTTTTATCCGATTTGGTGTTTAAGCCTCTAACATTCGTAATATGCACTCCACAAGAATGATATTTGGTACCAGATATAAGATACAGCCCAGAAATAGCTGTTTGTAATTTTATCGAAATCGGTTCAGATTTGGATATAGCTCCCATATATATCTTCATCCGATTTCGGGTTAATTGTGCACCAAACGGCCGATATAAGTCCAAATGGACTGAATTTTAGTACATCGGACCAAAATCAGCCTAGAAGCAAGTATATCAAATTTAGTGAAAATCGGTTCAGATATAGATATAGCAACCATATATATGTTTCATCCGATTTAGTGTTTTAGACCCATTCATTCGTAATATTCACTCCACAACCGTGATATTTGGTACCAGGTATTAGATGGAGCACAGGAATAGCTGTTTTAAATTTTATCGAAATCTGTTCAGATTTGGATATAGCACCCATATGTATCTTCATCCGATTTCGTGTTAATTGTGCAACAAATGGCCAATATCAGCCCAAATCACCTGAATTTTCGTACATAAGACCGAATTCAGTCTAGAAGCTAATACGTAAAATTTGGAGAAACCCGGTTCAGAGATAGCTATAGTTCGTAAAATGCACGATAGAATTAGATAGATTTTGATTTTGTACCAAATATCTCATAGAGCTCTGAAATGCCCTGTATAAACCTTTTTACGAGAGCTCTACTAAATATGCATAGTGGTGTAGGGTATCATATAGTCGGCCCCGCCCGACTTTTGAGCTTTCCTCACTGGTTTTAAATAGTTTTCCAATAAATAGTTTTCCAATAGAGGTCGCCTATCCACCAGATGGTGATTAGGATGGCTCTTATAGCAAAGCAAGTATCGACAGGTAAGAGTTCGTAAGAGATAGTCGACTGTTGTGAAAGGAGGCACCCTGTTACGATTCTAAGTTGTTCTAACTTCTAATATCATCGCAGACTGATGTGGTATGCGCGAATGATATTAAAAGGCTATCAAATGTGACCACTAACATTCTGGGGTAATCGGCGGTCGGAATTAAAACACCATGGACCGATATAGCCCCATCTCTTGTTGATGCTCAGGAACTGGGAAACTCTTATTCTCACTCTTTCTCTTATGCTGGTAAGGAGTAGCGCCTTCGCTACAGGCGACCAAAGTGATATCGGCCAGTATGATATCGAAATCCTCATGTTAGACCCAACAAAGTATATATATTCTTGATCAGCGTAAAACTCTAAATTAATTTAGCAATGTCCGTCTGTTTGTCTGTCTGTCCGTCTGTCTGTGGTAATCACGCTATCTTTCGAACAAATTGAGATAGAAGGCTAAAATTTTGCACATATGTTTCTTCTTCCAGTAGGCAGGTTAAGTTCGTAAATGGGCCACGTAGGTCCACGGTTTCATATAGCCCGCATATAACGGTACCTCCCGATATTCGGTATTTTGATGATTTTTGCGACATTATTCACTGGAATTGTTTCAAATTTGGCGTTTGAAGTTCGAATTGGATACTACCGCCTAAGACAGAAAATTGTCTATGCAGGTCAACGTCTTCGTATAGCCCCCCACAACGGTACCTCCCGATATTCGGTATTTTGACGATTTGAGCAACATTATTCACCGGAATTGTTTCAAATTTGGTATTTGAAGTTCGCAATGGATACTACAGCCTATGATAGCTCCCATATGACAGAAAATGATCTGTGCAGGTTTACGCCTTCGTATAGCCCCCATATAATGATTTTAGCGACATTATTTACCGGAATTGTTTCAAATTTCGCATTTAAAGTTTGTAATAAATACTACAGCCTATGACAGAAAATTGTCTGTGTGGACCTGTATACCATATAACGGTATCTCCTAATATTCGGTATGTTGACGAGTTTAGTTACAATACCCACGGAAATTGTTTGGGATGTCGTATTTGAAGTTCGAATGGATGCTACAGCCTGTGGCAGGAAATTGTCTATGCATGTCCAGGTCTTCGTAGTAGCCCCATATATCAGTACCTCCCTATATTCGGTATGTTGACGTGTTTAGGTACACTACCCACCGAAATTGTTTGGGATGTCGTATTTTAAGTTCGGATTGGATACTACAGCCTGTGGCAGAAAATTGTGTATGCAGGTCCAGGTCTTCGCACAGCTCCGATATAACGGTACCTCCCTATATACGTTATTTTGATGATTTTAGCTACATTATTCACCGTTTAATATGGTAATGACTTATGACAAACAATGCCTGGACCTAGGTCGTATAGACCCCAATATAAAGGCTATATTCGGTATTTTAAAAGTTTAACAGAATCTTTTAGGGATTTTATTTTTTGAAAATTTCCAAATTCGTTGCAAATGGTGGAGGGTATTCAAAGTTTTTTATTATAGAGTTTATTTATAGCTTTATTTATCCATTATATTATTTTTTTATATTTAAATTTCCATATAATAGAATAGAATAAATATTTTCTTCTTCATATTCCCCATAATAATAAACTTTTTTAATTGTCTTTTTCCTTGTCTACCCCCTCTCCCCCTAACAGGTTCCTCAGGATCGTACAATTGTAAGACGCGTTCTACGCACCGTATCGCTGCCATTATTTGTCTGTATGTGTACAATATCGTGTTGTGGTATAGTTGTAGCATTAGCCCTAATTATCTTTAATATATGGAATAAACATAGAAGGTAAGTTATCAACATTTACAGCATCAATTCTCCACCATATGTGCGAGGGAGAGAGAGAAAGACAAACAAAAAAGTCAGGAAATTTATTGTTTGCACTAAATGCGTTGCATTGTTTCTTAAGTATAAATGCCAGTGTGTGTGTGTTTTCTGGGCTTCAACGGCAAAAGTTTGAATGAAAATAGTTTACCACAATTGTTCTTCGTATGCCATGAATACTCTATGCGTGAACAAAAGGAATTGTTCTACGTATGGACCTAAACCAAAAGTAAACATAGCTACAGGCTCGAAGGAAGTATGCATTTTTCAGCATTGTCTTATTCTTGTGCCCACCGATTGTGAGGAGATGAATACCATGCTGGGTTTTTTGTTTTAGCATTACGCTCATATGGTGAAGGATTATTTTTTTCTTTTCTAAGACAATATGGAGGAATTCTGCGAAGGGTTACTATTATTTTAAAGCACAGCCGGAAAGTGCATGCCACAAATGTTTTTTTTTTTTTTTCATGAAAGATGATTGTTGATGTTTCTACTTTAAATACGATAAAAAATATTTATTTAAACATTTAAAAAATTCTTAAAATTTTTAATGCTATCATACAAATGATAAATGAAAGCATTTATTATGATACTCTTCGCCACTTTGCATATTCAGTATAGCTATCCCTTACAAGATGTCATACTTTAGCATTAAATCGGATGATTTTTAACCGATTATCACCAACTTTGAAGTATTTTCTTTTAGGAGGCTCCGTTTAGACTGATATTAACAATTTGGTGCGCAATAAAAGTCAAATCGAATGAAGATATATATGGGAGCTATATTTAAATTTGAATTTAAATTTTCTCGATGAAATTTGGCAGAGGTATTTCTGGGATGTATCTGATATCTGGTTTGAAACATTATTACCGTGGAATACATATAACGAATATGAGAAACGTCAACACATATATGAAAGATATAGCTGTATCTGAAGCTAATTTCAACAAATTTCATTTCAGTCTCAGAGTGTGATTCTATGAAGATCATCAAAAGGAACTATAGGTCGATGTTGTCTCCTTGTGCATGTAATATCTATATGTATAAAAGAGGAAACGGTTTGTACGTTTTTTTGAAATTTATATAATCAAAAAAAAAAAAAAAAAACAATTTTCCTGAAAATTTCCAGATATATTTTTGAAATTCCACAGAGAACTGAAAGTAGGAGGCATCAAAATCGAAAGTAGGAGGTTGTATGCAAAGATCTTTTGATCGGTCATAGATACAGTTTTACGAAATTTGGTACAGCAACAAATTTACCAAGTTATATTGAAGATTTAGATATAGCTCTCATATATTTTTGCGGCCGATTTCATTTATTTACTGCACCAACCATGCTATGTACCTCTATTTCAATGAAATTTAGAATAGGCAATTTAATTTGTTTAAAAAAATGATTTGCCAAATTATATTGAAATTGTTTCAGATTTGGATATAGTTCCCATACACATTTTCGGCCGATTTCATATTTTTCATATCATATTTTTAACTTCATAAAATTTGGAATGTGTAACGAAATTTGAAAGAACTTACATTTGCCAAATTATATTGAAATCGGTTCAGAATTAGATATATCCCCCATACATATTTTCGGCCGATTTCACTTTAGAGCAGTTATAATTTGGTTTCAGAAGGGACTTATATATGAGGCTCATATCCAATTCTAAATCGATTTTTACTAAATTTGACGGAGATATACACGGGAGTTATATCCAAATCTGAACCGATCTTAATACAATTTGGCAGAGGTATTTCTGGGCTGTATCTGATACCAAATAATATACTTGTGGGGTGTATATTACGAATTTGAGGGACTTAAACAACAAACCGAATAAAACATATTTATGGGAGCTATAGTTATATCTAAACGAATTTCAAAATTTCCAAATTTGACGTACTTGCTTCTAAAATGAATTAGGTCGGATGTGCCAAAATTCAGACCATTTGAACTGATGCTGGTCATTTGATGCAAAATTAACCAGAAATCGGTTAAAGATATAAATGAAGCTATATCTTAATTTAAACCGAGTCTCACAAATTTGAATAGCTTTCGTCCTTAGGTCAAATAAATATTGTTTGGAAATTTTCATCTCAATCGGATAATAAAAGCGACCTGTATTTTGTTCAGAAAAAATGTAGAGACAGACGAGCAGACGGACTGACATGCGTAAAATAGAAAGTGATTCTATGAAGACCCTCAAAAAAATTAAATCCGTTAAAAATCCTATTAAAATCTCAAAAATACCGAATTTAGACGTTTTATTAGGGTCTATACGACGACGTTGACCAGCATAAGCAACTTTTGATTTTCATTCATTCAGAGTGATTTTCATTCATTCATTTCATTGACATCGAATTTTATACTGAAAAATAATATATATACTTCGTGGGGTCTAAAATTTATATTTCGAGATGTTTCAAACGGAATGATGGACTTAATATACCATCCATACTACGGTGGAGGGTATAAAAAATCGGTTAATCGGTTTTGTCGACAGATGCATACCCTCAGCCAATGTTAGATTATTTGAATATATTTTGACGTTTGTTTTGATTATTAAAATTGTTGGCCCTCTATGAAGTATGTTCCGAAGGTATTTATCCATTTCGCATCGGACCTAAATAGATATGGTTATAGGTTTGGACTATGGAATTCACTTTATATAAGATATGTGATATTTTTTAGAAAATGTCAAAATGCCATATATCGTCGACCAAAGAATTCCATTTTCGCAGATATATATCATATGCATAACAGAACTTGTGTTAGCAAAAATTTTGGTATATGTGAAGTTTGAGGAGAGTTGAATGTTTTCTTTGAATGTTTTGTTTGTCAAAATCTTAAACCCTATGTGGGGGAGGTACCAAAAGAAATGGTCTGATCTCTGGCATCTTCATAACAGATCTTGTGTTGATGGAAATATTGGGATATACCAAGTCTGAATGGAATCGGATGTTAATTTCGCATTTTATGAGCTTCATGAGTATTTAAAATGTTGACCCCTTGTGGGAGAGGTACCAAGACTTCACAGCAGATCTTGTGTTAGTAGAAATAATGGGATGTGTGAAACATGAAGAGAAGCGGATGCTTATTTCTGATTTTATGATCCTTTTATTCTTTCAAAATTTTAGATCCTTTGTGAGGGAAGTTCCCATGGTCACACCAGACCTAGGGTTAATAAAAATATAGTGATGTGTGTAATTTAAAGACAATCGGACTCTTACATCACATTTTAAGAGAGTTATAATTATCATAAATTTTGACCCTTTGTGGGGGAGATACCAGAGGGAGTGGACCGATATTGTCTATTTTCTTACCTGACCTAGAAATGATGCAAATATTGGGATTTGCAAAATTAGAACGAAATCGGATTATCTTTTCCCTTCCTAGATCGCCTCCAAATGTCATGAAACGGATTAAGTACAAAGAAACCTATGGCCTAAAACAATTATTTCGACGAGGCACGTTTTGGCCGTATCAAATGATATATACCCTCTCTAGCCACTTGGCTGAGGGTATAATAATACACTCAAATTTTTAAGACTGGTCCACGTTTAATCATAGTTGCAATAAAACGGAGAGATCTCCGGTTAAAAAAAATAATTTAAAGATTTTAGGTACATTTTTAAATTAACTGAAAGAACGAAAGGCTTTGCTAAGTTATGTGGTCCGACAGAGTAATACACAATTTGACGCCCTGACCATTTTTTCACACCACCATCACGGTTGGTAAAACAATGTGTAACGCAGTCGGAATTCTCCGCTTTTTAAATTCCCTCATTGTTTAAATTTTCAGCGATGCGTAAAACCATTTAACATCTGAGGAACAGAACAGTCATCCATTTAACCAGCGATGCAACCATATGCTTTGTTTCTTTTAAACAATGGCGTTTCTATTCTCTTTCGCTCTCGAAGGGACGAAAAAAAATACAAAGGACCCAGAGAATGAAATGTGTGTTTGCTCTTGCTTTCTCTATGCGTTGCAAAGTGTTTTGACCGCTTGCTGTGTAGATGTATGGGTCTACTATTTAAGGTGCAAATACTGGCAAAATTAAATGTTTGCGTTTCATTTAAAGGTTAAATTTTCTTTGGGGAAATTGTTGGAATTTTTTTCACCATTTCGTTGAGCCCTGTCACAGGTATAGAAGGCTATTTTTACTTTTAATTATTATTAAAACTGGCCATAGTTTATAGAGAATATTTTCATGTTTAAGAAACTATTTCTAAACGACTGTTCGGCGTTTTGCTGTTGATTAATTTAAAATTACAATTTGTCTCTCCAAAACTTTTCGTTTTGCAGAAAAAGTTTTTTTTTTTCGAATGAAATTTACACCACTGTATAAAGAGAATCTTGCGTCTCTACTCTTTTGCGTTGCAACTTGAATAAACAACAGTATCTGCATCGTTGTCTACATCCAATGCCATCATTTATGTCAGCGAAATAAACTATGTATGCGGCACACATAGTTCCGCACAAAAATGTTAAAAAAATCGCCACTGCAGCCATGCTTTGTTCGGCAAACAAATTTCCACTTTTTGCCGAGTTTACAGCATGACAATGTTATGTACGATTATTTGAGTGGATGGGCGAGGTACCTCACATATATCAACATAAATTAAGGATAACCTAGTCAGTGGCACAGATTTGCCATGAAAATCTGTAGCTTTTTTCTGTGTGTGCTGGTGAGCACAGAATTGCACAATGACTAAATAAAGTTTTCTTGATATTCCAATATATAAGGAGTTGCATTTTTCGAGGAAAAATATGTTGAGAGGTGTGTAATTTTAAATCTACTCAATTTTTATGTGGCTACTAACAACATTTTTCTCGACTTATTCCCGTTTTTTAATTAAAATAAATTTAAAACCTGTAAAGAAACGCCGAAAGTCGGGCGAGGTCGACTTTATGATCTGAACTTATCTGTATAAAATTTAGCAGAAGCATTTCTATGCTGTATCTGAACAAGGCATCAAATATGGTTGTTGTGAAGTGCATTTTAGGGGTGAGAGGGACTTAAACAAAAAATATATAAGAACTTATAGCTATATCTGAACCGATCAAATTTGAAAACTTTTTTGATGCATTCGATCAATTCGGGCTTATACAAATGATTCGTTTATACAAACCATTTAAGGTGCAATAAACTTGAAATGAATATATGTGGGAGCTATATCCAAATCTGAAGCGATCTCGATAAAATTTGGCAATGGCAATTACCCGAATATCGTTGTTTTGTGCTGTGGCTGTGGAGGAAAAAAATACAATTTGCATGGACAGTATATTTGAGAGTTATAGCTATATCTAAACCGATTTTCACCAAATTCTACGTGTTTGTATCTGGACTTAATGTGGTCGTATGTGTCAAATGCCATCATAGTTGGACTAATATAACACATATCTAAATTTTGACCGATTATCTCCAATTTAACTAGGGTTCGTCAATGGGTCAAATAAATGAAATGAGGGACAGACGGACGGACAGGCATAAATCGACTCAGAATGTGATTATATACAGATCATCATAAGGAAATATGGGTCTATCTCGCTTCCTTGTCTATGTTACAAACAAATACACAAAGATGTAATACCCTGACCAGAGTGTAGTGTAGGGTATAAAAATAATAACCGATATTGCCCGAACTTGACATAATATGGTAGTTATATTGGTATATTACATTTGCCATTCCGTAAATTTAGTATTGCGTCAACGCATACTGCTTAAAATCTGAAATTTAGCGTTTGGATTACTGTTAGTGTATAGGGTTGAGATTTGAGGATGATATTGTAAATACATCCTAAAAAGTATTAAATGGTACCTTATTTGGTATTTGGTTAAGGGATTGAGTTGGAAGTCTGAAATTTGGCATAAGGAGCACCTTTTATAAGGTTTGGTTGATACATGGCAGGGAATTTTAAAATACGTACTTAAAGGTACCAAATAGAATTAGCTTTGGTATTTGGGAAAGGAATAGGACTAACAAGTAAAAAACATTAAGTTCGGCCAAAACATGTGCTCTATACGAAAACGTGAACTATGTTTCGCCATAGGTGCTAGAACCCATTATAACCTACAAATACAAAACCAATTTTTTGACAAATCCGTGAAAAAATGTGGTGAAAATCGAATCGAATATCGGGAGGTACTGATATATAGCGGCTATACCAAAACGTGGATCGATATAAATTTTGAAGCTCTACAGATAGGCGGATACCGTTAAATCGACTTAAAATTTTATGCTGATCGTGAATATATATACTTTCTGGGGTCTACGACTAATATTTAGGAATGTTACAAGGTAGAGGGTATAAATTTCATAAAATTCAAAGTAGAGGCTATAAATATCTGAAATATTAAAGGGGTTTTCGAAATTCTAACAATACGTGAACCAAAAATGAAGTGGCCTAAGTTTGGTGCCATTTGAACGGATGGTTGAAAAATCCTGAAATTTGTTTGTATTCTTTGAATTGATTTGATGAAAGGATGTTGTTTTGGACTTGTGTACTAAATGTTAGAATTGTAATAAATAGTACTAAATTTGATTTAAGTCGGATGAGGTGAGAGGTGCTTTACTAAATGTACTAAATAAGTATTTAATGTCATTAGATTTTGTATTTGGGCAAGGGATTGTCATGGAAATCTAAAATAAAAGTGTATTGAAGTTAGGTATTCAATTTATAGCTAGATATTAATAAAATGCGCTTTTATACCCTGCACCACAAGGTGATCAGTGTTTTTGTGCCTTTATTTGTAACAGGAAAAGGGAAACGAGATAGACCTATAGTTCCTTTTGATGATCTGTATAGAATCACATTCTGTGTCGATTTATGCATGTCCGTGCGTCTGTCCATGTATTTTTGTAAACAAAGTACAGATCGCATTTATTGCCCGATTCAGATGAAATTTTGCACAGATAATTTGTTGGACCCAAGGAACGAACTCTATTGAAATTGGAGACAATCGGTCAAAATTTAGGTAGAGCTTACATATAGGGTTGCCCATATTCGACGGACCCATCTGGCAACGCCATAACTTGTGACAGAGATGTCACACCGCTTAATGACATACCGCGTCTGAAGCGTCAATCCAAGCAGATTTTTACCATGAACCAATACACGCCACGCGAGCGCTCTGAAATAGTTGAAATTTACATTCAAGAGAAGAAGTCAATTGTGAAAACTCAAAGTGCTTTTAAAACATTAAAAATGTGAGAAGTGCGCCTTCTAAGAACACCATTAAGCGTTTATCGAAAAATGTTCGACTGGTAAGGCTCTTTCTAATCCGAATAGGCCATATAAAAGTCGACCAAGGCGATCGGCCGAAAATATCGCTGCCGTACGAGCCAGTGTTGAGAGGTTCCCAAGAACATCCCAAAAACGCCGTTCTCAGCAGTTGGGCATGGCTCGGTCCACTTTACAACGGATTATTCGCATTGATTTGCATTTGTTCCCGTACAAAATTCAGTTGACGCAAAAAATGTTGCCTGCGAACAAGCCTCGTCGATTGGAATGGGCCCATGGGTCCGTCGAATATGGGCAACCCTGTATATATTTTCGTCCAATTTGCCTTGTATTGTGCACCAAATTTGTAATATCAGCCCAAATAGTATGGCACGTACGACCAAATTGGACCTGAAAATAAATATGCCAAATTTGATCGAAATCGGTTCCGATAGAGCTATAGCTCCCATATATATTGCCCGATCTGTTATTTTTATCCTCCGCATTCATAATATGCACTCTGCAATAAAAATATTTAAGGAAATATATCAAATATAACTCATAAATACTCTTGCTAAATTTTACCGAGGTTGGTTAATATTTGGATATAGTTCCCATATGTATCTTCGTACGATTTGCCTTTTATTGTTCACCAAACGTGTAATAGTAGCCCAAATTGTATCTAGAAACCAGTATGTCAAATTTGGTGGAAATCGGTTCAGATATAGCTATAGGTCCCATACATATTGTTCATCCGATTTGTTGAATTTGCCCTGCATAGCCGTAATATGGACTCCGTAGAAACGATATTCGGGGAAATATATCAAATACAGCTCAAAAATATCATCGCCAAATTTTATCGATATCGTTTCAGATTTAGATATTGCTCATAGAAATCGATTCGGAGGAGGATATTCCTAACATATATTAGTTCCTTTGGACTTTTAATTATTACTATAATCATAGTTGGTATGATTTACTTCCCACAAATTACCCATTAAAACTTTTATTTGTTATGTGAAGCTCTACTAAATATGCAAAGTGGTGTAGGGTATCATAAAGTCGGCCCGCCCGAAATTAAGACTTTCTTTTCCTGTTATTTAATACATTACATTTGGTGTGAACAATTCTCTTAACGTAAATTCACTCAATATAATTTTCTAGTTCCACATACGTAGTAGCGGATATTTACTAGTATTTCAATAATTAATTATGCGTAATATGTATAAGATGCTGTTAAAATTTCAATTGTGGTAACCTATCTTCGTAGAAAACGAATCCTTTATTAAAACAATAGAAGCGGCAATACCTGATGGTATAATTTCAAAGCAATATTTATTTTAATTAAATTGTTATAAACATTTCAATTATTTGATGTTTTTTCTTCATTTCAGAGTAATACAATCATCACATCCTGTATGTAATACAATTATGTTAATTGGCGTTATTATCTGTTTAACATCCGTCATTTTATTGGGTATTGATGGACGGTTTGTTAGTCCAGATGAATATCCTAAAGTAAGTAAACGAATTTGTTATCAATAACAGAATTTTTTTCCTAAATTATAAAATATTCAAAATATCGTCTTCAACGTAGGATGAAGTCGAAATATTAATTTTACAGAAAAAAAAATATCTTAATAAATATTTTTCCTTGGTCCGGAGCAATTCCGCAATCTTTTACGTTTTCCTGCGTTGTTGGCGATACATGAATTGTTTATTATTATGAATATTATTTAATTAACTGTACGACCTTTAATTTATTTCCTTGTTTTATTTTTTCTTCTTCTTTGTCCTCCAATTACCAACAGGTCTGTCAAGCTAGAGCTTGGCTATTATCCACCGGTTTTACATTAGCTTATGGTGCTATGTTTAGTAAAGTCTGGAGAGTACATCGATTTACCACAAAAGCGAAAAGAGACCCAAAGGTGAGTGAAGTTTATTTAAAAGGTAGATCATTTATCAATTAAAATTCAATTTAAAGTATGGGATTTACAAAACAGTAAAACTTTTTCATAGTCGATATTGTAAAAATTTTACATTTTTTACTACGAAAGCCGATTTTCCCTTTATGATATCGAAAAAAATTGTAAATCTAATAGATTCTTGCAAGTACTGTAAGAGAACCTATTTTTATACCCTCAGCCATATGGCTAGAGAGGGTATATATCGTTTGATACGGTCAAAACGTGCCTAGTCGAATAATAGTTTTAGACCCTAGGTATCTTTGGACCAAATCCGTTTCAGGATATTTGGAGTCGATCTAGCGATAATATTTCCATCAGTGCTAGGTCAGATGCAAAAATGGACAATATCGGTTCACAATATCAAGTACCTCCACCACGAAGAATCAAAATTTTGAATAATTATACCCTTTATAAAATGTGATGTAAGATTCCGATTATCTTCAAATTACACATCAATCAACCCAAGATCTGCTATATAGATTGTAGAGATCGGACCATTTCTTCTGGTACCTCTCCACAAAGGAACCAAACAACAATTAAAAAAGCTGTAAGTTCGGCCGGGCCGAACTTTGAATACCTTCTATACCACGACATGGATCTGTATATGTAAAATTTGCCAAAAGCCATTACAATATTGAAATGCGAAACTTAAAAAATCGGTAATAATGTAGATAAAATCATCAAAATACCGCATATCTGGGCTATACGAAGACGTGGACCTGAACAGACAATTTTCTGTCTTAGGCTGTATTATCCATTACGAACTTCAAATATTAAGTTTGTAACAATTCCGGCGAAAAATGTCGCTAAAATCATCAAAATACCGAATATCGGGAGGTACTATTATATGGGGGCTCTACGAAAACGTGGACCTGCACAAACAATTTTCTGACTTAGTATCTAGCATCCATTACGAACTTCAAATACCAAATTTGAAAGAATTCCGTTGAATACATTCGTTAAAATCATCAAAATACCGAATATCGGGAGGTACCTTTATATGGGGGCTATACCAAACGGACGGACAGACGGGCATTGCTAAATCGACATAGAATTGTATGCTGATCAAGAATATACTCACTTTGTGGGGTGTGAAATGTGTATTTCGAGGTGTTACAAACGGAATGACAAACTTAATTTATCCTCCATACTACGGTGGAGGATATAAACAGATCATAAAATACGAAATAACCATCCGGTTCGCTTCAAATTGCACAAAAAATGTTTCTACTAATACAAGATCTGCTACGAAGATGGGATGTATGAGTCCATGGGATGTATTAGTGCCAACCTTGCTTTCCAAAATACTCCAGACACAATAATCCAACGGATTGGTATCCGGAGATTTTGGTAGCCATTGTGGGCTTGAAATGAAGCGATAAGGTTCTTCGCTTCATTGTGACCATTTTTGCTTGGCGCGTGCTGAGTGCGATGGTGCTGAGTACTATTGGAATGTCCACGGTCTGCGGCCAAAATGTTTGCGTGCCCAAGGCTTTAATACATCATACAGAATATTTTCGCGATAATATTCGGCATTTATTCTGATGCCACAGCCGATTAATACGAGGGGAGAGCGACCATCGGCTGTTATGGCGGCCCACCCCGTCACCATGGCCGGAGCTTGCCTTCTGATGGCCAACCCAAGGTGCACATTTCCAGCTGATACCTTTGGCAAGCAACCACGATCATTTTGTTTGTTTACAAACTGCTGGACAACGAATGTTTTCTCATCGAAGAAAACCAAATTCGGCAGTTCAACACTTTCGGCCAAGCAAAGCAAATCTTTAACTCTTTTGAGTTTATTTTCATTCTGCTGCTGTGTAAGTTCTTGCACTTTTTGGAATTTCAATGGCTTTACTCCGAGCTCATTTTTCCACATTTGCCGTATGGAATATTGCTATACGTTCAGCTCACGAGCCATTTTTGGGCCACTGTGACGCAAGTTTCGTTCAAGTCGCTTCTTCACTTTCCAAACCATTTCTGCTGGTGTTGCTGTTTTCTTCCGTCCACTTTCTTGACGTTGGGCTACGCTACCAGTATCACGGTAACGAGCGATGGCACGAAATACAAAAGATTTATTCACATTTAAATGCTGGAGCCGCCTCTGGTTTTCCAGCCAAATATAAAGAAATGACACTATTACGCATGAATTTCATCACAAATAAATTTTTTTCAGGAAAATTCACACCAAAAATGCTTTTGTACGCTTGTAAACAATATAATGAGCTGTCACTGGAATAATTTTCACAGCTGTCGGACGAGGGGCTTAGAAATGACAGCAGTCTGAAGTTGGTTGCAGTTTTTTTTTTTTGTCATTTCACCCTATATAATTCTAATACAAAATATCCCAGTTTAGGATTTTACGTAGGTGTGTCATTGCGTATATTCCTTCACAAAACCTTCAATCTATCCTCCAAGATATGTTGCTTTTCCCAAAAAAACATCAATCTTTCCACTTGAATCAGGAATGAGTAAAAAAATATATACCCATATCAATAATCGCACACCGCATCCTCATTAGCCCGTTGTCCGCAAAACACCAAATGTCAATTAATTACACACCAACACACGGACACACAACCAAACATTTATTTGACCAACACACAATGTTGTCCACAAAACTATCAACACTCTTTCATAACTTTTGCTATTTATTGCCCCATTCCATGATAATTAATTAAATTCCAGCTATCCTTGAATTATAACCTCAGTTGGTCATTTTATGCCACAAATGGGAGAAATGGTGGCGAAGACGGGGTGGCATTCAGCGGGTTTATTGGTTCTGTGCTATTTGGTGGAATGCATGCAACATAATTACACAAAAAGTACCGATACCATCGAACACTTGTATGGGGTCTACAAATGAATGAATGAATGATCATCTGCTACCTTCTTTGAGTGACATTTGATAAATTAACTGATAATGTCGAAAAAATTAAAAACGAATTAAGGTCAAATGTCATATGCTCGTACATCAACGAGCGGGACAGTCGTTTGTTTAATCGACTGTGAGTGTGTGTTTGTGCGTGGGGAAATTGAATTGAATTATTTGGTTGCGGTATTATATACATTGCCGGTGTTGAATTATGTATGCATTAATACAAAAATCATGTTGTACTGGAAACTACAACAAATATTTGTGAACATGACAAACAACATAACTGTAATTATCGAAGTGTATTTTCGATTGCAAGGCCCAATTATAAATGGATGACGGCAAGGAAAATCAAATAGCAATAATACGGAACAAAGTCAACTTGGGGGTATGGGGTGGAATATTCCTCTTCGGGTATGAAAGTCTTGGTGTTTAAATAAGCACTTAATCACATACTTGGTATACCCATATAAAACTAAGACGGAAACCCCCGTACCTGGTATAAAATTGTCAAAATTTCGGCATAAACAGAGAACCCGAGTGAGCTTCTAAGGATTAACACGATACTAAGTTAGACCAGATACAAAGTTGATAAGTTTTAGAATAACCAAACTTTATTCTAAAACTTATCAACCGATAGGTTTACCCCATACCTGGATAAATAGTTGTGAAAATGTGTTCACATACTTATTTATATTCAAACAAGTAAACAAAGGCTATAGTCGTGCCGGGCCGACTATGTGATACCCTACAACACTACAATATACTAGAAGCTCCTTTATGTCCAAATCCATTTTGGAAGATTTCGCGTGTCGATTGGCTTCAATAGTGTGATCAGTAAAATTTTCCTGTTTTTGGTTCATTTGAACCCCTAAATATTCTGCGATCATCTCCAAAAGCAAGAGACCCCTATGCATCTCCAAATTTTAGATTCATCTATATTATTAGCTTGTCTAAGATATTTGGCTATATTCGTCAACGAAATCAGGATAAAAATCCAGAAGTTCGCCTTTTTGCGTATTTTGGATAGAAATGTTGGTATTTTTTCACTCAAAAGTATTGGTCCATTCAATCCGCTTCAAGTCCTTTGGTTTCTATTTGTGACCTTTATAACGGCTGCAAAATCATGAACATTTTTAGTTGTTGGTTAATTTCAATCTGCAATCGGCATATAATAACCCCAACCTGTGTTTTAAGGTGAAAAAATATTACAAAATATACACTTCAATATTATAAGTCAAATTGAAAAAAAAAAACGCATGCGATAAAAAAATATGAAAAAAATATCTCAAAATACTACAAAATCTATATTAATATATATATTAGATTTTATTTTTTATGCCAGGAGGCCATTCTGAATTGACAAAATTTGTCAAAATCGGTCCAGCCATTCTTGAGATATAAGGATTCTAGCAAACATCCCCTTCCTTTGTATATATACATTGTATATATTTCGCTTTATATCTGATATATTTACTATCGGCATCGACGTAACAGTCAGAATTGACCTGTTCGCCTATTTATACCCTACACCACATAGTGGTATTATGTCTTTGTGCATTTGTTTGTAACATGGAGAAGGAAACGAGATAGACACATAGCTACTTTTGAGAACCTTCATAGAATCACTTTCTGAGTCGATTAATGCATGTCAGTCCGTCTGTCCGTACGTCCGTCTGTCCATGTATTCTTGTGAACAAAATGCAGGTCGCATTTATTATCCGATTGAGATGAAATTTTCCAAACAATATTTTTTTGGCCCAAGGACGAACCCTATTGAAATTGGAGAGAATCGGATCAAATTTAGATATAGCTCCCATATATATTTTCATCCGATTTCGGGTTAAATGTGCACCAAATGTCCACTATCAGTCCAAATTACCTGAATTTTGGCACACCCAACCGAATTCGGCCTAGAAGCAAGTATATCAAATTTGGAGAAAATCGGTTCAGATATAGCTATAGCTCCCATATATATCTTTCATCCGATTTGATCTTTAAGTCCCTCACATTCCTACTATGCACTCCACAACCGTGATATTTGGTACCAGGTATTAGATGGAGCACAGAAATAGCTATTTTAAATTTTATCGAAATCGGTTCAGATTTGGATATAGCTCCCATATATATCTTCATCCGATTTCGGGTTAATTGACCACCAAATGGCCAATATCAGCCCAAATGACCCGAATTTTGGCACATGTGACCGAGATTAGCCTTAAAGCAAATACAACAAATTTGGAGAAAATCGGTTCAGAAACAGCTATAGCTCCCATATATATGTCTTATCCGATTTGGTGTTTAAGCCTCTCACATTCGTAATATGCACTCCACAAGAATGATATTTGGTACCAGATATAAGATACAGCCCAGAAATAGCTGTTTGTAATTTTATCGAAATCGGTTCAGATTTGGATATAGCTCCCATATATATCTTCATCCGATTTCGGGTTAATTGTGCACCAAATGGCCGATATAAGTCCAAATGGACTGAATTTTAGTACATCGGACCAAATTCAGCCTAGAAGCAAGTATATCAAACTTAGTGAAAATCGGTTCAGATTTGGATATAGCTCCCATATATATCTTCATCCGATTTCAGGTTAATTGTGCACTAAATGGTCAATATCAGCCCAAATCACCTGAATTTTCGTACATAAGACCGAATTCAGTCTAGAAGCTAATACGTCAAATTTGGAGAAACCCGGTTCAGAGATAGCTATAGTTCGTAAAATGCACGATAGAATTAGATAGATTTTGATTTTGTACCAAATATCTCATAGAGCTCTGAAATGCCCTGTATAAACCTTTTTACGAGAGCTCTACTAAATATGCATAGTGGTGTAGGGTATCATATAGTCGGCCCCGCCCGACTTTTAGCTTTCTTTACTGGTTTTGATTTCGCCGGGATTAAAAATATTCACGGTTTAATGGAAAATTTGACTCTTATTTAAAACAAATGTTAGACCATAACACTCACTAAATATTACCCGATGACCATTTGAAGGCTTCTGCATCTGCCAAAATTGGAAGGCTTCTGCCCAGCCCTAAGCTCTAGCCCCACGCTAACTTCTGCGTCGATTGGACTATAATTACGACCTGTAGAGCAACTGCAAAATCAGGAAATTTTTCAGTTTTTTGTCCATTTCTACCCCTAAATATTATGCGATGATCTCCAAAAGCAATAGGCTTCTATTATGGCCCTAGCTCCACCTCCATTCTTTTGTGAAGATCGGGCTATAATTGCGACCTGTAGAGTGATTACAAATTAACATGGATAGACGGACGGATGGACATACATAGCTAGATCGACTCAGCCTGGCGAGATAGGAAGATCCATATGTACTTGCCTATTTGGGCTTAATTTTTGGTCCAATCAAACTTATTATACCCTAACACATAGTGTTGTAGGGTATAAATACATATATACATATATTTATTCATCCACTTCGGCAAGAAGAATTCCTAAGGTAGTCAGGCTCTCCAGGGCTAACATAAAAGTGTGAATTGTATTGAACGTTTTCGAAGACCTAATTTCTATTCATTGAGAGTTTCTATTTTCAAATTACATACATATGATTCTGCTGGAAAATAGAGATAAATCCTTGTTAGTATCGACATCAGAGACTGTTGTTAAAAAGGGGCTATACCAAATAGTGGACATACATAAAACATACTTTGCAGGAAAAGGTAATATTTCCTTGATTTAAGGAACTTGAAAAAGCCGAATTTTTGAAACCCCATATAACGGTACCTCCCGATATTCGGTATTTTGATGATCTTAGCGACATTATTCACCGGAATTGTTTCAAATTTTGTATGTGAAGTTCGTAATGGATACTACAGCCTATGTCAGAAAATTGTCTGTGCAGGTCCACGTTTTATAACCGCACTCGGTACCATGGTGGTATTTTGATGATTTTAGATATATTATAAACAGATTTTATTTCCAGTTTCACATTTGAATATTGTAATAGCTTTTGACAAAAGTACCTATGCAGGTCCACGTCGTCGTATAGACCCTAATATGCGGCTACATTCGGTATTTTTAAGATTTTAACAGAATTTTTTGAAAATTGCCAAATTTGTACCAAATGGTGGAGGGTATTCAAAGTTTCGGCCGAGCTTACCGCTTCTTTACTTGTTTTCTTTTTTTTTTTCTTCTACAAAATTCCACCTGGTTGACAATTGATGCGAAGGGCGAAGAATCGAGATTTAATGGTTATTATGCGATATTCTCTTTAGTTCGCACTTCTTGGTGGTTTAATGTCCAACGGAGTAAGTTTGTTACGAAATTTAGCTGCTTAATTGGGTCGATTAAATTACCATAATTGCCAAAGAAAATAATAGTTAAAAATTCAACCATTAATTTTCGAAGACACATAATACCAATACCATCTTCTCCCTATAGATCAACAGTGCCTTAAACGAGGACGTGAATGGGTCTTTTTATTTCTTACGAACGGCATGAAAAATTGAATATTTCGTGATTACGAATATATTTGAATTCGTTTATTCAAATCTTTATACTAAAAATACTTTGTCAAAATTGTATAAACCTAACATCAAATTTATGTATAATATGTTTAATTTATGGTATTGAGGTTTACCATATTTCGATCCTCACTATCCTTAACACAATAAAAATTGTTGTGCCAAATTTCAGAGCTCTATGTCAAATAATGTGGGCAGCATTTCGATTTCATCAGACAGACGGACATACCTAAACCGACTTATGCATTTTGCACTGAGAATATTTATACTTTGTAGGATCTAACATGACTACTGCGAGATCCACCATAGTCTTGTGGTGAGTACTAAATTTGAAAAAATAAAGCTAGTACTATAGACACTTTGTGCATGGAGGGACAGTGCTGTAGTTTTACATCTAGAAACTTTGAGGCATAAAACTTGCTCGATTTTGAGTAAAGATTAATACTCGTTCGCAGTCGAGCGGGATCACTCCTTGAAAAGCGGCAAAGTTCAGCCGGGCCGAACTTTTACTACCCTCGTCATTTTGAAGGGACTCGTCATTAGTTCTAGTAGCCATTACGAACTTTAAATACGATATTTGAAACAATTCTGGTAAAAAGTTTCGCTAAAATCATGCAATTAGTGAATATCCGGGGTACCGCTATATAAGGGATATACAATATCGTACACCTATATATTTCAGGGGTAAAGAACTCACAAAGGACAGTTCCATTGAAAAATGTCGCAGATCATTACGATATCGTGAACCGATATAGCCCATATTCGAACCTGACCTGCATGCAGACTGACTGATATAAAAAACGAGAAAAACTCTATTTTTCAGTTCCATTGGAATAAGGGTGAGCATACTTCGTTCATTTTAAAGTGGGAGAAAAATTTGTAATATCATTTTGGCTTCGATAGTACGATAGATAGTAGCCTGTATATCTTAGTACATATTCTAAAAAACTACATATTAGCCAATGCATTGCACCAATATACAAATTAAGGTACAAAACTAGATCCTTGTACCTTTAATAGTGTTTTTCCAAAACTCCAACTACATACCCACCAAGAGCTTCCTTGATATCAGCCTTTAGTATTCTTGCAGTAGAAAATTATTCTGGGGGTTCATGAGGCAAACATAAATCATTTATTTCAAATTTATATAACAAAAAAAACGCATATCTTCATGTATGACATGTGTTGTCCGAAGCCAAATTTAAACCTAAGATTTATTATTTCGTCTTATACTTTCTCCTACATGCATATTATATATCACTCAATTTTCTTTAATTTCAGAAGAAAGTTGAACCCTGGAAATTATATACCATGGTTTCTGGTCTACTATCCGTCGATTTAGTACTGCTGATAGCATGGCAGATATTCGATCCGTTGCAACGGATATTGGAGACATTTCCCCTAGAAGATCCCACATCGACGAGTGATGATATTAAAATACGTCCAGAGCTGGAGCACTGTGAGAGTGAAAAGAATTCCATGTGGTTGGGTAAGTCAACAATAAAGCTGGTCATTTATTTTCGCTGAATATTTAAAATAATTAAATTCTCTTTAATTCCTCTGCTCGTAGGCCTTGTCTATGGTTACAAAGGTTTAATTTTGGTATTTGGCCTTTTTCTGGCCTACGAGACACGTTCGATAAAGGTGAAACAAATTAATGACTCACGCTACGTTGGCATGAGCATTTATAATGTGGTGGTATTGTGTTTAATCACGGCACCGGTGGGGATGGTGATTGCATCGCAACAGGATGCATCATTTGCCTTTGTGGCATTAGCTGTGATATTTTGCTGTTTTCTGAGCATGTTGTTGATATTTGTGCCAAAGGTGAGATTGACAAAAAAAAGGAGAATAATGTGCATGAGTGATAAATGTTTACACAAAAAATTTAAAATTTATGCCTTACAGCAGGACCATAATGTTAGAATACAAATAGTTTTTGTCCGTTGTCGTATACGTTTTGACAACACATATACGCCAGAGTGGCTATAAACTAAAATTTATCTTTTTAAATTAAATCGCATTGTTTTCACAATTTTTAATCTATACAACTTTTCATTATTTTCCTTACCCAGGTTATTGAAGTCATACGGCATCCAAAAGATAAAGCCGAATCGAAATATAATCCCGACTCTGGAATTTCGAAGGAGGACGAGGAACGTTATCAGAAATTGGTAACAGAAAATGAAGAATTACAACGACTGATATCACAGGCAAGTGAAAATAAACTGTTTTTTTTTTTTTTTTAATTTTAATATTAAATTTCTGAAATCTCCCCATAATCCCTATCTAACCTTAAAAAGGACTAATTTAATTTTAATCCAATTTTTTCTGTTCTTTTTTACTTTTCTTCTTTCTTGTCCCCACCCACATTCCATAGAAGGAGGAAAAAATTCGCCTATTACGACAGCGCTTGGTGGAGCGAGAAGCTCAAATGAAAACCGCCGATACAAATGGTTGCGGTGGTCCGCCAACAGTGGCAGGAGGCATTAACAACGGTACACATCCACCCGCCGTAACAACCACAGGTACCTCATTAGGGGTATACACCTCGGCAACGTCCTCACATTTACCACCCGCCGCATCACTAGCAATTACACAAGGTAAGTTAATGAATTCACAAAAGGGAAAATTAACAAAAAAAAATGAAAACAAAATTATCCCCTCCTTGGATGAATGAAGAAGGTGAATAAAAGAAAATAAAAAAACCACGATGTCCAGTTAAGTGGAAAAGAGGGGGCAAATATTGAACTCCAGCTGAAAATAAAAATCACAAGGGAAATTAGTTTTTGTGGTGATTACAACAGAAATCTGAAAATTCCCTGCTGTGGTCGAAGACATAGAGTGAGAAATTTGCTACCTATCGAATTTTCTCCCTGTGATTATCACCGCAGATAAATTTCTATAGAAAAATTTCTCTCTGCGATGATAACCGAAGATAATTTTCTATAGAAATGTTTCTCTCTGGAATTATCACCAAAAAAAAATTTCTCTCTGTGATAGCCACAGAAGAGAATTTTCTATAGAAACTTTTCTCTCTGTGATAGCCACAGAAGAGAATTTTCTATAGAAACTTTTCTCTCTGTGATAGCCACAGAAGAGAATTTTCTATAGAAAATTTTCTCTCTGTGATTATCACCGAAGAGAATTTTTTATAGAAAATTTTCTCTCTGTGATTATCACCGCAGAGAATTTTCACTGAAGAGAATTTTCGATAGAAAATTTTCTTTCTGTGATTATCACCGAAGAGAATTTTCAATAGAAAATTTTCTCTCTGTGATTTTCACCGAAGAGAACTTTCTATAGAAAATTTTCTCTCAGTGCTTTTTGTCAAAGAAAATTTTCTATAGAAAATATTCCCTCTGTGATTATCACCGAAGAGAATTTTCTCTACATAATTTTCTCTCCGTGATTATCATCGAAGAGAATTTTCTACAGAAAATTTTCTCTCTGTGTTTATCACCGAAGAGAATTTTCTATAGAAAATTTTCTCTCTGTGTTTATCACCGAAGAGAATTTTCTATAGAAAATTTTCTCTCTGTGTTTATCACCGAAGAGAATTTTCTATAGAAAATTTTCTCTCTGTGTTTATCACCGAAGAGAATTTTCTATAGAAAATTTTCTCTCTGTGTTTATCACCGAAGAGAATTTTCTATAGAAAATTTTCTCTCTGTGTTTATCACCGAAGAGAATTTTCTATAGAAAATGTTCTCTCTGTATTTATCACCGAAGAGAATTTTCTATAGAAAATTTTCTCTCTGTGTTTATCACCGAAGAGAATTTTCTATAGAAAATTTTCTCTCTGTGTTTATCACCGAAGAGAATTTTCTATAGAAAATTTTCTCTCTGTGTTTATCGCCGAAGAGAATTTTCTATAGAAAATTTTCTCTCTGTGTTTGTCACCGAAGAAAATTTTCTATAGAAAATTTTCTCTCTGTGTTTGTCACCGAAGAGAATTTTCTATAGAAAATGTTCTCTCTGTGTTTGTCACCGAAGAGAATTTTCTATAGAAAATTTACTCTCTGTGTTTATCACCGAAGAGAATTATCTATAGAAAATTTTCTCTCTGTGTTTATCACCGAAGGGAATTTTCTATAGAAAATTTTCTCTCTGTGATTATCACCGAAGAGAATTTTCTATAGAAAATTTTCTCTCTGTGATTATCACCGAAGAGAATTTTCTATAGAAAATTTTCTCTCTGTGATTATCACCGAAGAGAATTTTCGATAGAAAAATTTCTCTCTCTGATTATCACCGAAGATAATTTTCGATAGAAAATTTTCTCTCTGTGATTATCACCGAAAAGAATTTTCTATAGAAAATTTCTCTCTGCGATTATCTGGCAAAATTTTCTCTACATTATGGTTATTACAGAAGAATTTTTTTCTCTGTGATTATCACACATAATAGAAATTTCTGTAGAAAAATTTCTCACTGTTTTTATCACAGAAGATAATTTTCTCTACAAAATGTTCTCTGTGACTTTAACAGAAGACAATTTTTGATAGAAAAAATTTTCAGCTACATTTATCACTGGAGAGAATTTTTAATATTTTGTTTGTGTTTCTCGCAAATAAGAATTTTCTCCCAGTGATTATCAAAAAATATATTGGGCGTTGTCCCAAATTTCCCGGAAAATACACATACATCACAAAACCTTAAACATCAGCCGGGCTGTGTCACATCAACCACTCAAAACTACAAGCATCAGTCCTATCATTAACCTCATGTTCGCATCCGAGTCAACAACATGAACAAACTCTCGTCATTAACCTTTCTGGCATCGTCATCACCATCGCCATCTTCATCGTTATGATGTGTGGTGGTGATGTTGTGATGTTCCTACATACATCATCTGCATGAATATCATTAACGAATTTCCCACAATATCCTACTTACATTTTATGTAGCTGCTATAGCTGTGGCAGCTATGGCTGGAGTCAAACCCCCCGCCTCAATTACCGCCTGCAGCATCGATATAACCAATACCGACGTTACCACACCCTTATTGCTGGAGCCTTTACATCGCGAACCTTCTTGTAATTCGATATCATCCTCCATGTCGCCAACAATTGCCATGACAGTCCTACCGTCGACAAGGTGTAAACGTGATTCGGCATTGCAACCACTGATACAGCCAGAGGGCACATCGGCAACGTCGGATTTCGATAGTGCCATATGTCTGGGTGGCAGCGGTGGATATTCGCAATTAACCGCAACGACAACAACGCGTTCACGGGCCGCCAGTCAATCATCGGCATTTGAATTTTCCGATAATTACCAATAGGTTGGGGTGCTCCATCCTCACACGACTTATGGACAGTGAGAGAGGGGAGCGGAATAATCATCTTTCTCATTGCCATGCAAAATAAATCTACTCATTCGAAAAAAAAGCATTGAGTCTAATATTCAAATTTTGTTCTTGAAGTTTGAATCGGAACACAGAGAGAGAAAAAAGAGAGAAGAAGCAAATGGAAGGGTAATGCCTTATTTTTTTCTTTTTAAAAATTCATTATTAATTGGCACCCGAGTTTAGTTTGGTTTCCTTTAATTTATTTCATTTAGTTGAGTTTTTTTTTTTAATTTTTCTGTTGCTCAAAATTCATTGCAAATTGGCTTTTAATGTTTGTTGCTGTTGTTCCAGTGTTGTGAATACAAAAAATTCATGTTGCTTCTCCTCAGAGATTCGAACACCATGTACAAAGTACTATAGATGAAAATGAAAGTGTTTCAGTAATCACTTTTTAATGAATATTAAATTACGTTGTTTTCAATAATTTATTCATATTTTTTTTTCTTTATTTTTTAATTTTAGAAATATTGGCTTTTTATGTGGGAATCGGTAAACAAGAGCTTTCTTTAACTAAATGTTCATAATAAGATGTGTGTTTTTGTCCAACACCTGTGTGTATAGAGCAATGCACTATTTTATAGGCGTTGTATCGATATATTGGTACTCTGCACCATTACACCTCTATTTTTAAGAAATTCACTTGAAACTCCAAAAGTTTCCACACGGACGTAGAAATTTTGTTTGAAAAAAATGTTTTGTAATAATTTCTATCAAAAATCTTAATTGCAACAGAAAAATAACATTGAAAAAAGAATGTATTGGATTAATCTTTAAGGAACAGCAGCCTCAAAATTTTAGCATTTATGTTTAAGACTATAAGTCTTGAATGCGAGGCCAATTTTTAGGTTTTTACATTCAATATTCTGGCATTAAAAAAATAATTTCCCTACATATTTAGTGCTAATTTAAAATTGAAATACGGGAAGTTAACCAAAATGAAGAGTGATTTTTAAGAGGTGTAGGAAAATTTAAAATATACACATAAAATTCAGAAAAATGCATAAAGCTTTTATTTCAATGTAATTTAATGTTTAAATCATATATATTAAAAAGTATACATTAACTGTTTATAATAGGCCCATGTAAGATGATTTTTGTGGGTAGAGAAAGCCTAAGCACACATTTCAAGTCAAATCGATTCGAAAATATAATGAAAACCCTCGAAATAGGTAAAATCAGGAGGAGGAGCGCTACTCCGAAACATTGGCATTGAAAATTTTCCGCGAAAAGGTTTTCTACACATTAGATGCCAAACAAGGGCACAATCAATTGAAAAATGGGACCAAGACCCTGGTAATAGCTAAAATCACCGGATACCTTCACATAAGTATTATAATGAAGCATGGTCCTATACTTATAATTATTTGAAAGAATTTGTTTTTCTTTCAAAAATCTCAACTTACCAACATTTGAGGAATTTGAAAGGCGCTATATCATTTGAGGTGGGCTATATCACAATGTAGACCAACCTAATACATATTTTGTACAAATGTAACCCCTAGGGCTGTATCTGTATAAACTTTATCGTAACTTTTGCGGACTATAGGGCAAAATATTTGCGGCCCTTTGTGTATGGTTAAGCTATATAAAAAAGGAATCTAAAACAGTTAGATCCGGGAACCCCGGATCCCCCCTTTGGGATTTTTATTATTATGTCTGCGGCGCAGTGTAAATACTGATGATAGCGCATAGTGCCCGTATAACGTTACCTATCATATAAGGTTACTTTTAAAGGGTTCGGAAGAATTTTCCGAGAATATGAATCCTTTTCTCACTATATTTTCAATTCACTCCACTTTTTTGTATAGTCCGCATCCACAGTGCCTCTTCATATTCTGTATTTCACTGAAAGACCCAATAAATTTTGCATTTTGAGTTCTCATTGGATGGATTATTTCCATATCTAATCAAAATTGAAAATTTGGGTATTGCAACCATATAACAGCATGTATAGAACATATACAAACTTTCTCGATTTTTTCGAAGAAACGATTCTACAAAAAATTCTATATCATAATAGAAGAGTCATTTTTTTAGTTCCGCGATTTTTCTCAAAATTTTCATTCATGACAACGTTTCCACTGTATTTACAAATAACCAAAATAAAATTTGAGTCAAATCGGCCCAGCCGTTCTCAACTGATGTGTTGCTATACTTTTTTAAATTTTTTTACATATAAATTTAAAGAAGCAGATGTGGTCAGTTCCTCTGACCCCAAACAGATACCTAGGGTTGTAGGGAGAGAGTCAATATACAGTGTTGCCCATATTCGGCGGAGTTTGGGGCCCTTTGGGCTCATTACAATCGACGAGGCTTGTCCGCAGGCAACATTCTTTGCGTCAATTGAATTTTGTACGGGAACAAATGCAAATCAATGCGAATAATCCGTTGTAAAGTGGACCGAGCCAAGCCCAACTGCTGAGAACGGCGTTTTTGGGATGTTCTTGGGGACCTCTCAACACTGGCTCGTACGGCAGCGATATTGTCGGCCGATCGCCTTGGTCGACTTTTATATGGCCTCTTCGGATTAGAAAGAGCCTTACCAGTCGAAAATTTTTCGTATAAACGCTTAATGGTGTTCGTAGAAGGCGCACTTCTCACATTTTTTTTCATAATTGACATCTTCTGTTAAATGTAAATTTCAACTATTTCAGTGCGCTCCCTTGGCGTGTATTGGTTCATGGTAAAATCTGCTTGGACTGACACTTCAAACGCTGTATGTCATTAAACGATGTGACATCTCTGTCAAAAGTTATGGCGTTGCCAGATGGGACCGTCGAATATGGGCAACCCTGTACTAACTGTGGAACAGATATCTTCATGATTTTGGCAAATATTAGGATTTTACATGAATCGAAAAAATGGGCGCAAAATTGGGTGTGGTCACTTTTTCTTTCCTTAAAAACCTAAATCGGGGTAGGACGAACATTTAAAAAAAAAAAATCCAAATAGTTCCAGCCGGTCTCAACTGATTCAATTACCAACTAACAACAATTGGTTTATATATAGATTAAAAAGTAGTAGCCTCAGCTCCCAAATAAATACTTAGGATTGGAGGGAAAGTCGACAGTTATTTGGCAAATATATAGATTTTTGATTTCAGATACCAATTTATAGCATTCAGTAATAGTCGCATTCTTAAAGTATGAAATTCCGATAAATCTGCCACATTTCGATAGTTTACATAACAAACAAATTTTGCATACCACCGGCTTCATGACTTAGCAAAATAATGATTTTGGACGAAATCCGCTTCTGAAAATTTGGAGTCGATCTGGCGGTGTCTGCTTGTTTGCCTTACTGTCTAATGCGCACGATAACTCTGGAATAGAGCATTTTAATTTGGTTCAAATTTCATACATCTAGTTTCTGGTGCCACTCACATCGTTCGAATAATCCTTATTTGTGTCAGTACAATGCCAGTTGGAGTACATCGGCCTACTCCTTCCAGTACCTACCTCTACTCCTTCCAGTAACCTATCTAAATGCAATATAAGCTTCCGATTCTCTTCAAACTTCTCACATTCCCATACTTCTACTTTGTATGTTTGTGCATTGTTTTGAGAATTCGGTTGCAAAATAAATGCATATTTTCCATGTTTTGTTAAAAAATGAAAAATAAACAAAAATAAGTGTTGCATATTTAAACTATATTACTTTATACTCTATTATTATACTCCAGCACAGAGTTGCATTTTTCTAGTTTCTTTGAATTATATTTTTTCAACCTTTCTTATTGAGCCATGATACCATCTATCAACATTTGGCTTTAAAGCAGTTATAGCTTGGTTTCAGAGCGAAGTAATATATGGCAGTCATATCCAATTCTGAATCGATTTTCACTAAATTTGACGGAGATATTGTAATTTTTTTAAACCATATAACATTTGGGCTGATACTAGCCGTTATTTGCACAATAAAGTTGAAATCGGATTAAGGATATATATGGATATTCATATATATAAGGATAAGGATATCTACATCTTAGCCGTTCTCGATAAAATTTGGCAATGGTATTTCAGAACTCTATAAGATAATTGGTACCAAATATCATTGCTGTCGAATGCATATTACGCATGTGTACATGCTTCTAGACTAAATTCGGTCGGATGTACCAAAATGCAGGAATTTTTGATAGATATTGGCCATTTGGTGCACAATTGACCCGAAATATCATTGTTATAGAGTGCTTATTACGAGTGTGAGGAACTTAAACACCAAATCGGATAAAACATATATATGGGAGCTATAGCTATATCTGCATTATAAATATTTGCTCTTCACCGATATATGAACTGTGGTTTACATTAGATACTCTAATCTGAAAGGAACACGGTTTTAGGAATAATTTTGAACTTTTGTAAGGAGTTTTCGGAAGAAGTTTATAAATACATCCCACTTTCAAACCAGATCTTTTATTGTCGGAAAAATGTTGAGATATGCGCAGTTTTAAAAAAAAGTGAAAACGGATTTCATATTTATATGACTTATAACTCTTCTTAAGAGCGTTGGCCTTTTTCAGTGAGAGGGAGTTATTTCGAACTTTATGAGCTAAGATAATTCAAAACCTTAACCTTTTGTTAGAGTGATACCAGCAAGAGTGGTCGGATTTTTCTGATATTCGGAAATGATTTACGTCTGATTTCTTGTACCCTTGGGAAATTTAAAAAAAAAAATTGCTAAGTTCCGCCAGGCCAAGACAAGTAGCTTAGTTCCAAAACTTTGAAAGAAATTGAAAATTTTCCAAAAAAAAAAAAAAAAATCCATCGAAAAGACACCGCTCAAAGAAAAATTGTTATGTAGGGGCTACACGAAAACGTAGTCCTACATTAGTATTTTTTGTAATAGGCTGTAGTACCGATTTCCGTAATCGGTACTTTAAATAGGAAATTTAAACAATTTCGGTCAAAAATGTCGCTAAAATCATAGAAATATCGAATATCGGGGGTACTGTTATATGGTGGCTACACGGTTTTGTGGACCTACATCCCTTTCAGGGGGTAAAGTACTCAAAAGAAATTCCTGGTATAGGTTTTCTGACAAAATTTGGATTAAATTATCAATATGCAGAATATGAGGGGTACCGTTATATGGAGACTATACGTTTTTGTGGACGGAT